AGCTTCCGTTCTCAATAACATAACCAACTTCACCGCAGTGAGAATGGTTACTCATGGGCTACTAGCCATCTAGCAACCCAGAGCAGCTAGTCTGCAGACAGGAACAGTAACTGGCTTCTGTAGCAGTACACACCACCTAAACTCTTTGTGGACTAAAGTCCAGAAAAGCAACTCATGCAGAAGTTTGACCTGCACCTGGTCACCACCCTACTTCAGAATGACATGAATAACCCTCCATTAGAGCCCTGCCCAGCCTCACAGACACCACCAAATACTTACGATAAGGCAGACTGTAATAAGTACCCCATGTCCCTGTGTTCCTCCCAAATCCACTCCCATTACAATGTGTCTGTAAACCCCAGGACGCTGTCACCTCACCCAGTAAAATACTCAGGCTGCAGTCCCATGGATTCTGAAGTGGAGTTGTGGTTGCTTCACACAGGAAGAAGCACTACTCTGGGTCAGCAAAGCTGCCAAGGACTGTAGCTAAAATTACTTTCACTCTTTAAGCCCTTAAAAAAGGGCAAGCTGTCTCAAAATACAGCACAGGCAATTTAGTCAAACCCAAAGTACTGCAAATAACTTCAAAAAAACTCCTCATTGCTAATATATTTTGACATGGGGAGAAAAGGAAGGGTCTGCACCCTAGACCACATGGAGAGAAGAAATTGCCTGATGCAGTTTCACAGAGTGAAGCCCAAAATACCCGCCACTGGCCATGTTAAGTGTTACTCAGAATAACTGTTCAACAGGGCGATAACTGCTGGGCTGACAGACTGGCTCCTCTACAGGACCAATCTTTAACCACGGAGGTAGCACAAGGGGATGATGTCACAGGACCAGCAGTGCCCGAAGGTCAGCCTGGCTCCCAGGATACCCCAGGAAGAAGAAGAGGAGGAATGCCCCATGGAAGACATTACTTCATGGGGCATGAAGTCAGCAGAACAGATATAAGCCAGTCACTGAGTGGATTTCCCAGTGAGCAAGAGATGCACTGTTAGCAAGCAAGGGGAATGGATACCTTGTGACTTGCTCTCCAGCTCCCCTGTCTCCATTTTCTGTCCTGTCACCAGTGTTAGTTCTCTGGCATTACCCTGCAAGCACCTGGCCCTGTGCAGGAGCGTAATAAACTCTGTGTCTCGCCTCTGCCGAGTGGACTTTGCACACCAGGTGAAGAATCCATCTCTGGGACAAGAATGAAACATCAGAATGGTAATCAATGAGATTTCAAGCAACTCTAGACAGAGCTCCAGCTACTGCAAGGAGCAATTCAGACATGCATCAGCTGCTTGGAAAGAAGTGACTATCTCTGTCTTTTGTCTGTCCTATAAAACCCGAGTAAGCTTACCGACAAAAAAAATTCACTGTTCCTAATTACTAAAACCCAAGATATCAATATGAACTTCATACCAATGAGTAGTTTAAAAACATTTCTCTTATTTTACCTAGATAATTATACTTTTTTTTTTAAATTTAAAGTTGAAAACAATACACACAAGAATTGTCCTCTTCAGGGTAAGTGAAGTGCCTAGTTGATATTTTGCAGAACTGATTTTTTAAATCTGTCTTGAGAAAGCTGCAAACATATTTTCAGCTTTTTAGATGAAAGCTTTCACGCTTGTTCCCAAAATATGATTAACTTCCTTAAGATCTGTATGACATATTCAGTTTAAAGTTTGCATTTTTTTTTTTTTTTTTTTTTTTTTTTTTTTGGTGTGCTAAGATTTGCCAGGACTAAAAATATCTGTAGAAATGAAATAGACCTAGAGGTTTATTGCTGACTTAAAACCCCTCAAAAAAACCAAAAATTGTGGTAGTTTTTTATGTCTTGATAACATCCCTTCTTACAAGGCTTTCTAATAACTTCAGATTTTAATCTTACATAACATGCTAATTAATCTGCCAGACAGTTCAAATTCTTGTTTCAACATCTTCAGCACAGACTTTACTAACTAGTTCTTTTTACTAACTCATTACAACGTGTTTTCTTGATTAACGCAAATAGCAGACTCTTCATTTATGGCATTTTTCTTTATCCAACAAATCAATTGTTTAATTTATCAAAATTAAAAAATCCCAACCAAGAGTCCATAGAACAATTTTAGCCCTGTCACTGTCTGTGGTGGAGAACCATGACTAACAGGAAAAGGGAACAACCGTCAAACCTGCTTTGGAACATTTTTGTGTGTGCAAAAGGAGGTGGTATTACGAGGTAGCAACTAGAGTTCTCATAATCTATTTGTAAGCTTGGTAGCCGTGTTCCATAGCAGAGATCACAGACTCCAGCAAACCACGGACCATGGGGAACTGAGAACTAGCACAACAGTTACCAATTATTCACCTGTAAAATTTTTGATGTAATAGTATCTGGCAACCAAATTCAGTTACAGAAAATAAAAAAAAAAATTTCCTTTTTTCACCACTCCTACACAGGGGTACTGAGGTAGATACCCTAGCGCAAACCAACAGAAAATCAAATTAAAGTATTTCCCCCAAGCTGAAGGTTTGCCTCTCAGTATTACTAACATGCCACATCCAGGAATTCTATTATACTATTAAAAGCTGTATGATAAGAAATCTTCAATTTTGGATCCTCCTGCTTTTGAGAATGGAAGCTGTACAAAAACATCTCTTTATGTCAGAGGTAATTAAAAAAAAAAATAACTAAGGCAAAGTGGATTAAATCTTTGTATGTGCATACATAAACACAGAGGGAACACACAAGATACTTCTGACCTTCTCATGTGATTTGGAAATGCCAATGGACAGCTGCTTTCTTCTGGTTTTGGAGATACAGCAGATTCTATAAATTCTATGGGAACCCACAGAAATGTACCAGGGGATTTTAGTCATTTGTCTACTCAATGGGGACAAAGAGTATTATTCACAGGTAACAGACAGTATAAAAGCCAAGCAGCAAAGATGGGGTTCATTAAGGGAAGAACTAAAGAAGTCGTTAATGTGCACTTTGAGGCACAGCAGCTCTCTAAGTATTCCCCTACACACCAGTACTGTCATAGCAAATACCCAACCAGTTAAGTAGCTTTCCCTCAGTTAACATTGGTTTCAGTGCCATTCAGGCTATGGTCATGTACAATTTCAAAGCCATGCTCGATCCTCTTTACAAGTCACACAATCCTGCTACCCAAACACTCTCTTCTGGAGATGCCTCAACATCTTCCAACAAACAGAACAACATTCTAACAAGAACACCAGGAACCAAAGCACAGTTGGTTTATTTTCATAACACAACGCAGTAGTTTACCTTAGCAGTGTGATTGGCAGCCATGCAGCTAGAAAGTTTCCATACCATTAATATCATTTATTTTTCAGACAATTTTTAAAATTCTTTAAAAAGATGCTATGTAATTGATGGGCCCCACAATGAAGCTCATACAGTCCAAGCGTTCTACCAAATCATTTCCTCCACCAGCAGCATGAAAACAGAGTGCATTGTGACACCTCATATATATTTAATAATAGCGTGATAGGCTGTCATTAACATCAAACAGCAATCTGGGATTGCTACATTAAACATGATCCCTATATTAAGAGGACAATCACAAAGTGCCTATAAGATCCAGCCTGTAAGAAATACCCACTGACTTGGATACAGTGTAATGAGAGGCCAACTGCACTGAAGAAGCCATTATTCTCACACTGGATTTAAATTTTTTTTTAAAGGAAAAAAATAAAAGGTAGGGGCAAAAGAAAAACCTTCAGTGGGTCATAAGACCAGACATGCCATAAGGCAATCTGTCACACAGTACTCTTATTAATAACTGTTGTGTCAAAACTGAACATTCAAAAGAAAAGACAAACCTTCCTTTATGTTTTATGAAATGTAAGCCCACAGAATTAATAATTTATGAGATAAAGAAAAATACCAGATCTGGCTATAAATATTAACAGAATGCTGTCAACCTGTTTAGAACCAAATTTTGACTATCCTACTTTACAATTATCATTCTAGAAGAGAATATTCTTCAAAAGCTAGTAGTGGGGAAAAAAATATCATTATGAAAGTCATTAATGAAGATATTAGCATTCCCTATCATGTAGGTCCTAAGCAAAACAGAACTCTGTTCTGTGCCTAGCTGTCACTGGTGAATGCTAACTGCCTGGCACTATTTTTGTTGATAACAATAATGTTGTGCACACAAAGTACACCAAATGGACATACTAACACCAAGACTCAGTGGAAAAAGGGTAGGGACAGGGGGGAAGTAGTTGTCAGATGACAAACAAAGGTAAAAAAGCAAGTTAAATGTTAAGACAAGTTTCTGAATACTAAGTTTATACAAAGGATCGTGGATAAGTTCTTCTGATTAGCTAGAGAACGGGCACTTAACTACCAGAGAAAACAATTAACCCACAATGCACAACAACATACCAGTAAGTTCACGGCCCAAGATTTCAACCAAATATTAAATGTATTTTCAGAATATTTGTCAGGCTCAAGATAAAGAAGTATTTCACAAGACCTATTGAACAATGCAGTTATTTCCATTTTAATGTTTATTTTATTTCCTAAGGTGGTTTGCAGTTAAAGTTCAGTAACTAGAAGAAATTTCGCTTGCCTTATGACACCATCCCTTTTCTGCTTTCACTCCTATTATAGAGAATCAGAACACAAGACAGTTGTGCCAAAAATCAGGAATGCAATCAAAATCTATTGTTCTACATGGTGGTGACAGTGCTTTTCTTTGCAGATTTTTTTTTTTTCTACAGCACCAATATAGTTTCAGTCCTGTTATGTCCCCATCTGCCCTTACACTCTGGACAATAGTGTTAAAAATTCTTACAAAAGCATCAATATTGGCCATATACTGAAAAAAAAAAAAAAAAAAACCAACAAAAACAAACACAAACTAAAAGACAGTCTAAACACTTCTCTCCACAGTTCTGGACATTTTCACTACATTTCATCTAGTGATGAGCACACAGAATGAAAAGCAAAAGAAGTTTAACATTAGACGCTTGTAAAAGTTAATTCCTACCTTTATCATTCTAGAGAGATCTCCAGCATCAGCTAATTCCAATACTATGTTCAGCTCATTGTCTTCAATGAACGAGGCATAATATTTAATTACATTTGGATGATTCAGTTGCTAAGAAAGTAGAATAATAATGCACATTTTAGTATTGAGCACATCTTGTTTTTTAAGACTGAGAAATGAAGCATTCTTAGGCAAACAAAACAACTCCTAAAAAACTATTTCAGTATTTATAGAAAAAGTACATGCTTATGAGAAGCACTTACAGATAAACATTTCTGCCAGAAAACAATGGCATTTTAGAATGAACATAATGACTGAAGTGTCAGTTTTAGAGGAACTTTACTTCAATGTATCTATGCAATAGCATGCTAAACTTATCTTAAACAGTAAAGTCAATTTTTAAAATCAGCATTTTACTGTACACAGGACACAAGTCTTTACAATATTGTGGTTTTAGCAGAAACTTCTACTTGAAAAGTTACCCATTTTTCCATAGGATTTACTTCTTAATGTTAATTTTTAAAGCAATAAAGATTACAAAATTCCTGAAGGGAGGCCTTTACACAGGCAGCAGTGGACACTTCCAGTACATTATGAGAAACTTAATATACTTGATGAAGGTTGCGCATTTTTTAAACAAATCTTTTACCTTAAGAAGATCTATTTCTTTGATGCAGTCAGCACGAGCTTTGGCATCCATTAAATCAAATATCTATGCAGAAGAAGTAAGACATTTTTAATATGTTAAAAAAATACAACAAATTGAGTGATCATCGCCATCATTTCATAGCATACATAAAGCAACTTGAGTTATGCATTTCATGGCAAGATGTAACATTGCAGTACGAAACCTAACTAATGCTGTGATACACTGATTCTTTTAGCCCCCTCATAGGAAACAAGTCCAGTTCAAGTACATATTTTCCAATTACTTAATTGCCACCTCTGGATATTTGTTGAAACACACTACAATAATTCAGCATTTTTCCTTCCAGTTGGTTCTAACCTAAATGTCAGCTTCCTTGGCCATTCCTGCCACACCATTATCAGAAACAGATTCTTTGCAGGACTCAGCATACCTGTTTCCTAGTCTCTTGCTACAGTCTTCCTTTCCTATTCTAAAACAACACACGCACTTTTGCTCTCTTCTCAGGATCAAAACATCATTGTCACCTCCAATTCTTTCTCTCCCATTTCCCTCCCTTCAGCAAGGAAGCTATTCAGGTTTTGTAGTTTGTTTACCAGAGCACTTTTTTCCCAAGACCTCATATGTCACCTTAACTTTTACAGCCAGACATCTCTACTCTTTAGTTTTTTTCCCACCTTCCACCTGCTCCAAAATTACTTTGCAATATATCTATCTCATCTTTGTCTCCTCCAGTTAAACACGTTACTTTCCACTAATTGCAATTTTTGTTTGCAGTAGTTTGTTCCTGCCATTAGAGTCCTTCTCCACATTCTACACATCTATACTTCATCTAAGTCTGTCTATTTTCAATCACTTTTTTTTTTTTTACCACCTTTGGGTTCCCTTCACTTTCTCAGATGTGCATGCATCTCCATACACTGCCATTATTCCCCTTAGGAATGACCAAAGTGTTACTTCTTCAAGGAATCCTTCCTCTCTTATTTGCCATTACTTACTGAGTAAAAAACAAAACTGAAACAACACCTCATGATCTGCTGTGTTTGCCTGTTACATTTTGAGCTATCCAGAATGGCAACAGAGACACTGTGAGTTTTAGTAATTGCCACAACATTTATGAGATCTCCTTTTCCAGTTACATCTTTTCAGTGCTCACCGTTTCTCTCTATCTAGTCTCCAGGAAAATACATATGTGCTGTGTGGTACCTGGTTCTATCAGCTCAGAATGATCATAAGCTCAGCAGCTGACAAATTTATTTTATATCTTGTTGCCTAAAGACTAATAGCATTTTTAGTAGTTAAAGTCTACAGAGAGCTCATCTCAAACTGACTGTGTAACTGTCCATGTGAATCATACTTTCTTTCACTCCCCCCAAAGACATTCAAAGAAATGAGGAGGTCCATGTATGATCTGCAAAATCTTATCTTCATTTTCTTCTGTGCCACTATGCACAGTAAATTTGTTATCCCTTTAATAACTGAAACCTATGAAGCACAGTGCTCACAGAGCACACGTGCTCTCAGCTAGCCACTACTTCCCTTCAGACATCCAATCTTCTGTCTTGAAAGCTGGCATAAGGAAAAATAGCCTGGAATGGTTACAAGATTCACTTTTTGACAAAAAGATAATTCTTAAGTCAAGAACTGAAGCGCCAGACTTTTAGCTAGGAAGACAAAAAAGGGGGAGAAGGATAGAAAGAAGACAACAAAACTACTTACCAAGAAAGAAAGGGAATGAACCATCTCACAGCTACTCGTATACTAACGTCAGGTGATGGGGAATAAACAGACTGAGCTAGAAGCAATTATTCTAGGAGACTGTGGGGGACTTCACAGAAACACAGCAGGGTAAGTCACCAGAGAGGAATGCTAACACTATGGCAAAGTGATTTCAGACGTAGCAGAAGGAAAGAGTTAGTAGCATATATGAAATTACAGGTAGGAGTATTAAACAGTAAGTAACACTTATATCAAAGACAGAAAAAATAGTTTATTAATTAAGGTTGGGAACTTAGCAAAGGAGATTAAATAGCCTCCATCTGTTATAGATCTCAACTCTGAATGGAAAAACATTGCTCTTTAACCATTTTGAGAATAGACTAAACTAGTGTTTGGTACAGTGATGAAGGACTAATGATTTTTCTAGGAAACACTTAGGCAAGTTCTAAATATGAGAGGTAGCACATTAATTGATGAAGTACTGAGAAGGCATGAGATCATAAATGTCTTCCCCTGTAAGCTAAGAGACTAGCAAATAGAAATTTTATCCCCCCTCTCTCAAAAACCAATCAATGACAGTGTATACCAAGCAGCAGGGAAAAAAGTGGACAGATAGAGGGGCACATTGTGAAGCTTCGTACTTTTGCTAAGCTCTAGATAATAGTGAAATAAGAATAGAGATATAAGTGATACAGAGATTAGATGTAGACAGAGAATTCCAAACACACTGGAGAACCTAAACAAACTTGCAGATGGAATTTTAGATTTAAAATTGGACACAAATTATCTGCTCACAACAAATGGAGAAACTACCCAAAGCACAATTTCAAGACTCAACCCCAAAAGAGTTTCATTCCCTGAAAAGCCAGGGCAGTTTGCACTGGTTAATTAGAGGCATATTAACTTACCTATATTAAGAGTATTTTCCTACACATCTCAACAAGCAAAATTTTGTGAGCAAATTTTTTTATAAGCTATGCCTCTGTTAGGCACATAAATCAGTACTTCTCATAGAGGAGTAACGAAGCAACAAACATAAGGCCCTATGCTCAGGACTGTGGAAAGATCTAGGATCAAGACATAGGAAAAAGACTAAATGTTGTTTGTGTATTCTGGCTAGTATTGCCAGTACCTCTAATTTGTTATTAAACAGCCTGGGGCAGACAGACCAAGCAGCTGCTCTCAGTAAAGTGCAGACTTGTTTTATAAATGTGACTCCCTATACTTTTATTATACTTTACTTTGTACAGCAGAATGGTACATTTGTCACAGCTACAGCTAGATTGAGTATTTCAAACATTACCTTAATAAAACAACACAAAACAGAAAAACTTATTTGTCTTAATTGCTTCCTACAAACACAGACAATACAGATTTACTGTGTAATATTCTTGAGGTTCTCCATCAGGCTTGGCCTATATCTAACTCAGACTATAAAAAGCATTTCCCAGAAATCCAGAATGTCAGTTTCACAGACATTAGCCTCCTCCAACAGTAAGATTGGCAAAAAAAAAAACCTACCCCAAAACTACAACAAATTACCCAATCCATGGCCTCTCAAGAACCTCTGCCTTATCATACCAGATCTAAACAGCTTGCAGAGATTTTCTTTCTGACTAGATTATCCTTCCATTCTGCCACACAGGTGCAGTTCAGATCAGATGCCCCTACTGTAAACAAGCCATCTCGGCTGACACAAGAAGGCTTCTGCAAACACAACAGAAAAACCTCCACACTTCATCACCAGAAGATGAGCAACTCAACACTAAACAGCTTACACTGGGAAAAAATGGAATCTACAATGAAAGATTTTAAAAGCAAAAAACTGTTTGCTTCTGAACATCCTTTCAAGTAAGTGTCCATCAAAATGACACCTGGCAGTGCTCCAAAGGCTTGCTTTGCATGAGATGCTGCAGAGCTGATGACCACACAGGAGAAGCTGCCCTCTCCTTCTGGTTTCCTGCAGATTAGCCACTAACAGTCTGAAGGGACATCAGTATTTCCACTGTAGCTGGAATAGCTTAGAGCTTTGCAAGCAGACCAATTCTATCTCCAGCTACTATCAGCAAGCCAGCCTGAAAGGTCAGCTTACGCTCCCCCCCTCTAGCATGAGTCGCACACACATCCATCCACCACAGGCACACGATTTGCAGCCCCATAAAGACAGCATTGCCATGGCTAATAGCAGGCCACAGGCCTCAGACTGCCCCAGAAACACACTGCCTCAGGACTTACAACCTTCTGTCTCCACTTCTCTTGGTCTGCACTTAGTTTTTGAGCACAGCTTTAGCTGTAGCAGCACATGCCTTGCAGTCGAGGGACGTCACAAAGTCATCACAGTGGAATGAGTCTAACAGATTCAGCTCAGCTTTGCACAGCTGCACGCTCTTACGGAAATTAAAACAGATAAAATAAAGATCTAATGACACCAGAGTGATTAACATCTGTAAGCTTCTGGATCAACAGAAAGCATTAGCAACTGGCTGCTTGAAAGCACCCAGGTAAATCCCAACACAGAGCCACCAGCAGCAGCATCCTCCTCACAGCAGAGCTCAGGACAATGATGTCGCTCCACACATCGATTATGGGAAACCAGCAGTAATTAGACTACAAGTGTTAGCTTCACTGTAATCGACTAACAACAAAAACTGCTTCATTTTGATTAGACTTCTAGAGCATTAATTAACCTAACAATAAATTCTAATTCTTGACTCCACTTACGAGGTCAGGATCACAGGGTAATTCAGGTTGGAGGCACTTCTCTACTCAGCACAAATTGCCCAGTGTAATACACTCTTGTTTAAGATTTTAATTATTTTACCCCAGTTTCTATTTTCAAGGACTGATAAGATTAACATTCTAGCAAGCAATTATGTTTGCTGTGGAAAGCCTATTAATAAGTAAAAAGTTATACTAAATATTTTTATGATGTCCCAGTTTTCATTAAAATTGTAATAAAAAAAAAATCTCATTGTGGTAAGCACTATACCTTAGTTAGCAATTACTGTGAAATTACTGAAAACAATTAGGCAAATACTGCTGAAGAGACTTTAGAGAACATTTTTAAAGCTCTTAGCAATTTTTTTTTTTTCTACTTAGGAATAGTGCTAAATGGAATAAAAAGTCCATTTTTAGCTCCCAGTTTTTCATCTCCTAGCATACAGAGGAAGAGTAGAAGGACAAGCACACAGTGATACTTCTTCCAGCATATTCCCCTCTGTGCGCTACGCAACCGAGGGATCTCTGGTAACTGCATTGAGTCACTTCTCCAGTGCCTTCACATTAGCATGGATTATAATATTATTCTTTCAGTATTCTAGAAATTCAGTTGTAAGTACTGTCAAGAGATCTTGCTATTTTTAGAATAGTTTCTAAGCTATTGTAAGACACAGAGCAGGAACTGTTTGCTATGCAGATATGTAAACTAAACGAAGAGGTTGCAGTATGTTGAGTCAACTTCCTGAGTGAGGTTCTTACATGCTCACACATGCAACTCGAGCTCCTACAAGACTATGTGCATAGCAGGAAGGTTTAGAAACACTTAATTGCCAGATAGACAACATCAGGCATTAGCTTTTAAGGGTAGACAGCACCTGATCTACTACCAGCTATCAGTTTAACTCGCATCTGAATTAACATGCCAAACTGAGAATCTGCCCGTTTCCTCGTGCTCCAAAGTTCACCACTTTACTGAGTTTTCCCATTCAGTATTGAAAAGGATAAAGGTATTCCTAACCTCATGACTTAAGTAACATTTTAACCTATTTCTTTTTGAAATTCCATATTAAATAAAAATACCAAAAAGTATTTCCAAAGCAAACGCAAGCATGAGTGTCCTAAAATAAGCCTACAGACAAGTAAGCAAAACAAAGACTGGAACGCACACACATATTAAGAGATATGATACTGAATAGCAACAAGCATTATTTTGCCACCACAGCACTCCTGTGCTGAGACCATAGTGCTTTATAAAGTGTGAAATTACAAGTCCTTTCCTAAGATTAATTATCACTAATTCATGCCTGAAGTAGCAATCCACTGACAATGCACAACGAATAATGAATGCTAGTCCTAGATAAAAGGACCCGTTGTCTGAGTCTGAACATGGGGGTCTCCAATTTCTGAATGAAAGGGAAGGAAAGGTGGAACAATATAAAGGCAGAAACGTAATAAAACCGGAATTTCATTGAAATATGCCATTTCACATAATAGTTTAAATTCTCAGTAGCTAAGGTTTACTTCACAATAGCTCATAAAGTGAACTCATCCAGCATTCCAGTCACTGGCTTTAGACATTTACAAGTCCTTTGCGCTTCAAGGACGTCTTGTGAGCGTTGATTCCAGTATGCAGCAGTTGCTTCATGGGCTGACTGCTGGACCACCTGCTGCTCAGAATACTGTATCAGACCTCAGGGTGCTGGTGCTGGTGGAATGGTCACCTAGACAGGCAATAGTAAAGGTGTACTGCTGCTCCCCTCAAGCATCATCTTTCAGTATGGCTGGGCCACAGACTTAGCACATGCCATGAAACTTAACTAGAAGCTCTTCAAACTTACACTGCTATGTTCCTATGTTCAAAGTTTCTATGTAGTTGATCTTTCCTGGTATTTCTTTGACTCAAAGTGTAGTTTAGACATTAATGAAAGTGAAGTAATGAAGCTTTGTTAATTCTGGGTTTATTTAGGTAATATATGAACAGCATCTCAGAAAAATAGTTCCATGGAAAAAAAGAAAACTATTATTATAAACACCACTTCTTCCCTAATTACAAAACGTAAACCACACATGGAAGGGCAAAGCAAAAAGGGTGCTATGAGAAGACCAAAAATACTATTTTGTGTATTCTGCTGCTTAAATTACTAGAAAGAAACTGCCAATTAAACAGTTTTCACTCTGTTACATATCCTGCTGGAAACCAAAGAATACTACTTCCTGTAATCTGGACTCAGCAGCAACTATAAATTCAGAGGCAGTGGCTTCTGTCACCATCTGCTTGTCCCTTCTCCCACAGCATCTTACTGCCACTTACTTCTGCTCACATTTTGTTCCACAAATACATTTTATACACACTAGTACAACATTTATCAATATTGTATTTATTTCAGCCAAATAAAATTTTTAATAGCAGAAAATAAAAATTCTTGTTGGAAAGCTTTGTAACAACTCAAAACTGGCAATCCTTTTGCAACAAATAATAGCCTGAGATCCAGTAACTCTTTAAAAGAGAATAACTGAAGAATTCTAAGTCACTTCAGCCCTTGAAGGCAGAGACAAACATGAGGAACCACTGACTACAGGTATACACCCAGCCTAGCCAGAAGAATGAAACATGGAGGGGGGGATGAACTGACATGGCCTGCAAGATCAGAAAGGAAGGCATGTAGTTGTTCATATGTGAGATGAGAACAGTCAGAAAAGGGGAAAGTGAAGGGAAGTCCAGATCTCAGTTACGTTATTTAACACAAAGTACCTCATTTAGAGACACTGGCTCAATGTGGAAGTTGGTTTCCATGCACAGATCTAAAAGAGAGAGAATAAAGACTCTCCCTTTTACAGGAAAAAGCATTCCTCCTGTTTTGTTCATACCAAGCTTCCATTAACAGAGCACCAGAAGGAAAAAAAAAAAAAAAACAAACACAAACGCATAGTATTTTAATTTCAATAAAATATAACATAACCGAAATTAAAAGCAAGAAGCAGAGCTGACCCACAAGAGCTCCTCTGAAAAGCAATCACTTCTCACCAAAAAAAAGAAAAAAAAAATCTATAAAACCAAATTTTATAGTGAAATTAAGTATTGTGACTTTATTTAACAAAAATATTTCTAAGCAACATTAGGGAAGGTCACAGAAGCATAGTAACAATTATGATGGTCATCAGTCCAAACGGAACTGCTGTAGATGTCAGCTATGCAAGCTGGAATAGTTGTGCCAAGAGCTCAGTGCTGCCACAAGCCTTTTGAACTCCAGGTAATTTTGTTTTACACTGAGGAATTTTTTTGCCTTATAGGTTAATCAAATCTCCCTGTCCATTCAGGTAATAGTCTCCTACACACATCCAGTCTTCATATGGAAGGGGATTTTACAGATCACAGGCCCTCCCAACGTGCACTAGGCAGTACTAGTCAATGGAAAACCAACAGCTTGCATTGAATACTTCATGACAATCAGAACACTATCAGGATAAAGCCACTTGGGAGAGCCACAACTCTCTACCCTATTTCTTGCCAACAAGATTCTTAAAAATTTATTAAATGGTAATACAAAAATTAAACGGGAAAGCTTTTCTGCTCTAGGAACTATCACCCGTATATGGGCAGCATGATGTCTACTTCATGAGCTGAAACAAAAATCTCCTGTCAAATCGGGAAATCTGATGTGAGAATACAGCTATACATACTGACTTCTGAAATACTGTTAAGAGTACACATGCTATAATGCCTCTGTATTCTTAATGCAAGCACAGTTATAAAAATTTCAGAGTTAACAGTGAAAAGCTGGACTTCATGACTTTCTTCCACTACCCAGGCATTCCACATCCACCTTAATTGACATGCATTTCAAGTCATATTTGACCTTTTTGGTTTTTCACGCACTGAAAATGAAGGAAGAATTAGCCTAATATTCTAAGACTGTTGATCAAAGTTCTCAGAATATATTTCAGCTTTTGAAGTAGTATATATCTGGCAGTTTTCCCAGAAGGGGGAAACAAGTCTCTCTCTTTTTTTTTTTTTAAATGACTGCCAGGGCTAGCCCCGCCTCCTGGTGCTGCGGAGCACAGGAAATCACAGAAATGGAACAGCAAGTCAGAACGTGACAGAGAAATTTGCAGTGTATGCATTAGCACAGCAGAAGAAAATTATTAAAATCCAGAAAAGCATCTACGAAATCTGACACATGTTGTTTTGCAATGTATAAGGTAACAAAAAACCCCTTCAGAACTGATGGCAGTAGCCAAGTAACACACTCGACTATCGCAACAGACCAAACTGAAGTTACAGTTTTAGTTTTGCTTTCAAAACTAAACAGTTGTCAGGGAATTTTCAAAGCAAATCTAGCACAGAATTTTTACAGAGTAACAGTCTTAGAGCAAACATTTCTGAGCAACTCCAAACAAAAAAAGAGAATGGAAATAACACTGGATATAGGCTGAGCTCAAGCTGCCTTTTGCCTTTGCAACCACAAAAAAGCAAGGGGTTTTCATCTAAAGTGTCACTTTTGGTTTAATTATTTTAACAAGTGCCAACTGCAAAGACAAAATACCTAAACAAATAACAACTCGCTTCTTATGCTAAAGTTTACAAGAATTTCATATCTCTTGGCTGCAGTAACTTAAGCAGCTTGCTGTTCTTCCACCTTCTGTGACAGAACTGCTGTGTTGCCACTGGTTAAGCTGTGAATCTTAGGAATAGTCAGGGCACTCAAGAAAATACTTTGATCAATGCAATTCACTTAATACTAGGGTGCACTGACTTTTAATTATGACATACTGTATGCATTTAATAACTATATTACTAAATAACTATACAGGGTGTCCCCCTCAGACTCATGAACATGATAATATGAACTCAGTTGTAACTTTAAATCTGATGGAAACACTGAGCTATACATTCAAACACAGGTTTTGTTCATATTAGTTTCAGGTAATTTTCAATCTTTTGAAACAGTCATTCCTTCCAACTATTAGAATTTTGATTACATATACAATGCATTTGATCTACGCACTTTTGAGGCATGGTTACTACCTGAAAATTACTTACAGATATTTAACAAAAAGTGTGAATTTGCATAACATTCTCACATTAGACACCACTAAATATTTATATTATATATAGATGCCAAGCTTTCTTTAGGACTGTTCTTAGCTCTTTTCCCAACAGCTCTTATACTTCCAATTTTACACTGGTTTGTGAAGCTTTAACATTTATACAAGAAGTCATCCTTACCTGAACCTTCTTCAGAGCCACTGGTACCCCATCCAACAGGCATGTTGCTCTGTAAACTTCACTGAACTGCCCACGGCCAATCTTCTTCTCTATTCTGAAATTGGCAAGTGTGTTATAGCCCATGTCGGGTCGCAAGGCTTTCTAGAATCAAAAAGACAGTAGAAAAAAAGTTTACATTTAAGTCAGTAAGACTCACTACACCAGTGTAAAGATTCATTTCATTAATTAAAATGACATTTCATACACTAAAACCACAACTGGCCCAGACTAATCACAAGATGTTCTGAAGAAAGCGCGCATTGTACTATTTATGGAAGAAGCATTTAAAACTATATTTTTGAGACACAGAAGAAATCCCATCAGACTTGACTTTGCCACATTTCCTTTTTATGTCTAAGCTCCCTCCATCCAAAAAAAAAAAAAAAAAAAAAAAAGAAACAACACCAAAAACACAAACACACCACAACCCACTAAAACAGAGACACTAGAGAAAATAAAGGAACCAATGATGCAACAGTATTTTAATGTCAATACTTAAGTGGCAATACAATGTATTTTTTTAATATACTCTTCTATTGCTCCAGAAATCAAAATATTAGGACTTTCATTTTGACAGAAGTGGTGCAGCATTAATGTTAGAACACATTCCAAAACGCAGGACCTAGCTTAATGAGGTATTTTTGTAGAGCTTTTAGGGAAAACATCAAAAATTGCACATCAAGATTTTTAAATCCTCTACGCAGAGCTTCGAGATACAGACTCTCTAAATAGGCTACATTTAAGAAGTATTGTGCACTTCCCATTGGAACTGGAGTTGCAGCCTCTGTCTGCACAGTAACTTGACAAATATTAGCGTGAACTACTAAGGCAGTGTGACAACCGCATGCTGAGAGCAAAGTCTCACTAATGTGTTTTGGCATGCAGGTTTGTAATCACACATTTACATATGCAATGACCTACATTTGCATGTCAGATCACACACTGTCTTGCTTTATTAAGACCAGGCACCTCCCTGTGCTTGGCGGCCAGAGTGGCGAGCCAGGGCCAGAGGGCGGTGGTTTTTGGCAGTTGAGGGATGAACTGCCACCAAGGATTAGGCTGATATGGCCTGAGCATTAGACACTTCATTAGAGGTAATCTGTTTAACAGTGGGCAGTGTATGTAAACTTCACAGCCCATTTGCGGCACCTTTTCCCCCCCATGGCCTTTCTTCAAAGGGCAGCGTGGCTGAGTGACAGCTTGTCTCATCTGCTCCCTTGTCCTGTCATACAATTTAGATGTGGAGAGCTGACATGAGAAGCAACATAGCTGCACATCTCCTACCACCACTGGGTCTCTCCTCGCCACAATGCAATTTGTAGAGAATAAGCTTGTGCAGGATAAAGATTTCCTTCGGTCTGAGACGGTAACAGAACAGATTATATTCACTTCACTAATGATCACATTACATTGCACTAAGTAAATCAGCGAGCACTCCAAATATTCCCTTTTCCACAGAAGAGAGTTCTATCTTGCAACATTAAAATAACCATCCACATGCTTCCTCTTTTCAGATTTATTTTTTAAACTTTTGGCCGAGCAATGTACTAAATCTGTAAGAATAATATTCTTTGTTCTGCTCTGAATAGACTTCTGTAAATCTCAATTCTCAGCCATATATTCAGTTGTATTCCTGAGCACAGAAGGAATGGGAGGAGACAGATGATCAGTTCAAAAATTTCTGCTAGAAAAAAGCAAGACAAACATTGTAATATACTAATTATTTAATCGTGGCATGAAGAGCTCATTCACGGCATAAATAAATGAAGAGCATCTGCAACAGAAACCATAATACTCATTTTCTGATTGGTTACAGAATCCGAAAGGAGCTGATACACAGTTCAGTAGAGGGCTGCCAGGGGAGGAAAGCATACCTTGGTGAAAGGCCACAGTGGTTAGTACAAGGCATTCACAGTTAACTTCTAAGCCTACACCAGACAGTAGCTCTCAGCTTAGCCAGAGCCCTCAAGAGATGTCCTAATTCAGTGTTCTTCCAAAACTTCCTGTTTGCATGCAACTCCCATCACCTTTGAGATTTAGGTTTTTTTAAGCATCGAATGCTCCATAAAATACCAATGAAATTTGGTACAGATCAAAGGAGGCACACAAAAAGACAGCACTTTTCACAGATCTGTTAGAGACCACTGAAGAAACCAATGAAATCTTTATTCACCCAAACACTCAATCTTACTGTGAGCCCAGTATGCAGCCCACATTGGTCTCTCCAGTGACCTGCCCTTCCCAGCAGGTCCTTGTCCTCTCCCCCTGCAAAATCCTCAGCACTGCTCCATTTCTGGGTGCCAGTGCACTATATGGAGTCGAAGATCAACATGGATTTTTTAAAAAGAAAACTCAAAAATCAAATTTTTTTTAATTATTCACAGATGCAGTTCAAATGTAGCTGAACAAATAGTTGAATTGCAGCAATTTAGAGATTCTAATAAGCAGTTAAGAGTGAGACAGGTTCTTCTCCTAATTGGGCTTTTCTGCCAGAGAAAAAAAAAAAAAAAAAAAATAATCACACCACACATTTTAAAAAATGTTTAACCATGTTACTTCTGTGAGGATTCCATGCCCATAAAACTAAGCCCTTTCAGGTTGAGAGAGAACATTAAGCAGATTAAGAGCCAACTATAAGATGAAAAACAGCAGCAGAATTTCTCAGACAACTTACCAGTGAAATCCCAAAGGGAACTGCACTGTTCAATATATATAATGCAGCAATAAAGTTTCTTTACAATCCAAACGTATGCAAGACAACCAGTGGAAAAGCCTGGCAGGTGACTCTTAGTTTTTTTTACCTCAACACTCAGTACTAGCTTCCCAAGGCTAGCAATCAGAAACTTCATGGGAAACAACCCTTAAGACAGAGAATGAGGATTTTAAAATTAAGAAAAGGAACTACAACATATCAAGGGAAAACTTCCTTAAAAAGTTAAGCTGATTAGTCAGTCATCACCAAAAAGAAAGCCAGACATTTTTAGGAAAAGCTTTTGAATGAAACAGAAAACAAAACATTTCACTACTACAGTCCCTGTGTGAAGACTGAATATCACACACAGCTCTGAAGCCTTGTTTTGAGGGGAATACAAGCAAGCTAGAAAATAAAGAGCAGAAGAGCAATGCTAAGCAGAGGTATGTAATGTCTTCTGTGTAAGAAGGGTCTTGATAAACTATTGTTCTACCGTTTAGGAACTGTTATTAAGCTTAGCAAAACAAACAAGCAACCAACCAACCACAGTAAGAGATATATGATGCCTTTGGGTTATATTTATCAGGCTTCGTAACTCACATCATTCTCTCTTCAGATGCTAAAAAGCTCCCATTCTGCTCTTGAAGAAGTTCTAGAATGTAAAGCCTTATTATCAGACTACTAATCAGTATTTTCTTACCTTCTTGCATAATGCTTTTTACAATATGCAAGAGGTTCAGGAGTACTTAAATATATGTACTTTCAAAATGTCCTTGTGATGTAACCAAGTACAGTGTTTTAACTTGGCAAAGAACAGACTATGACAGAGCTTTCAGACACTTAATTCCAAACTGAAAATGAGTATCTAATGGCACAAAGCCTATTTGGAGGCCAGTAAATAGCAGTGTACTTCAGGGGTCAATAGTGGGCCAAATCCTGCTCAGCATCTCCACTAATGATCTGGATGACCGGGCAAAGCACACCCTCAGCAAGTTTGCTGATGACAAAAATCTAGGAGGAGCAACTGATGTGCCAGAGGGTCATGCTGCCACCCACAGGGACCTCAACAGGACCTTGAGGGCAGACCCTGGGGTCCTGATGGCCACCAAGTTGAACATGGGCCAGTAGTGTGCTCTTGTGGTGAAGAAGACAAATGGTGTTCTGGACTACATTAGGAGTGCTGCCAATAAGTGGTGGGAGGCAATCCTTCCTCTCTGCTCAGCACTGGTGGGACCACACCTGAGTACAGGGTCCAGTTCTGAGTCATCCATACACAGACTGCTGGACAGCAGCCAGCAAAGGCCTGCTAGCCATCAAGGACATCTCTCATGTGAGGAAAGGCTGACAGCCTGGAGAACACCTAGCCTAGAGAAGAGAAGGTTCAGGGAGGATCTCATCAATGTGTACAAATACCTGAAATAAGGGTGTTAAAAGTCAGAGCTAGGCGCTCTTCAGTGAAGCCCAGTGACAGGACAAGATGCAACAGCCACAGCCTGAAACACGGAAGGTTTTGTTCCAACATCAAAGAACACTTTCCACTGTGAGGGTGACTGAACACTGGCACATGTTGCCCAGACAGGTTGTGGAGTGCCCCTCCTTGGAGCTGTCTGGACATGGCCCTGAGAAACCTGCTCTAGGAAACCCTCTTTGAGCAGGAGGGCTAATGACCTCGAAGACCCTTCCAACTTCAACCATTCTGTGATTTTGTGAAGTGGCATTTTCAAACTAATTGGGACTAAGCCATTATATTGTTTGGTAAAATATTCTCAAGCTCCTTATCAAAAATTTTCAATGATGAGGTTAATTTAATTTGCTATGAATAGCAGCATGTATTTATACAACACAATGACCAAAAGAATTGGAAGAGATTCACAGGTTCTTCAAAATCTGACACACAACTCTTCATAAAGCATTACCTCACCTCTTCTTCATAACCTGCTGTATTTTCAGTTCCAGTTCTTGCTCCTCCTAAATATACCAGCAATTGGTACAGGAACCTCCTTTCATTACTAGTTTTCATCATAAGCATTTATGCTTATTTATGCTTATTTTACAAGCATTTCATCAAATTTTTTCAAACAAAAGGCACAAATTGCCCTAGCACATATGCTGTTAACAAGAAAATAACCAGATTTAGGTTCCAGCTTTGTCAAGAACTCTACAGCTTTTACCTTGGAATGGTCACCACAGTAAATCTTTTTAGGGTATTCCTCTACAGGCTCTTGCAGTCCCTTCAAAGAATGACCTCTTTAAAATGTTAAAAAGCAATATTCTAATATTATCTTTTATTACATAATTCAAATGTTATCTCTTATCAGATAATCTTTATCCTTTCAGAACATCAACACATATCCAGAAATTAAATTTCTTATGATAGCATCCATTCTTTAATAATTATTTGAAAAAGGAAAAAATTACCTGTGGCTGAAATGGTGGAGCCGTAGGCCCCTGCATGTCTTGTGACTGTTCATCCATTCCACCACGCAAAGCTGTCCCTTGTGTCCTGAAAAGAGACAGACAGTCATCACACTGCAACACAATCCGTATTTCTGATCAATGGACACCAGCAGAAGAACTGAAGAATTCACTTTCTCACTCACGTGCTTGAGTATAAGAACATTTCACTATTCCCTTACCATTTGAGGAAGGAAGTTTTCTTATGTTGAGCTATTTTATAAAATGAAATTAATCGCTACACACATCTGAACTAATCAGGAAAATATGGGCAGTAAACTACTTGAGCCATACAAGTGGCTCTGCCTGATGGCAGCTGCGTCACCCTGTCATTCTCCCGAGGCACCAACCTCTTGCTTAACCACATAGATGTCTGCTGGCCAGCACCTTAGACCTATGGGCAGCATGGGAAACAGAAGCTGCCTTGTAGCTGCTGCCTGCACACCTTTTATGTTGCAATCATTTATCTGCAGTTTCAGGGACTGTGCAAGAGTAGTTCCACCTAAATAGGAAAAAAAGCTGAACATACACTCACTACATTCTACCAAGCTAGCTAAGAGGGCTTTGACATACTCTATGTAGGAGCACAGCCTCTATTCCCAACCACAAACCTCTCATATCCCATCAACAAGATGGGAGGACAGATGCCTGACAAGTTCTCAATGCATTTTCCCCAGCTAACTGAATCCTTTCTTAGGTTATACGACATTTTGTTGAAGGGGAGCAGGTGCAGCACCCAGTCTTACTGGTGCCTATAAGGGCCACCTCCATTCAGATGAAGACAAAGTTCACCAGCAGCTTGGAATGCAAACAATGGAATAAATTTGTATACAATAAAAGGCAAACCCTGCACAACTTTTTCATCACACAAACACAAAGTGTCTCTGCCCATTACCTGGTCAAACCTGACAAAGCCTTCAGAGGAACAAGAGTCATGTGTTTGACTGGAAAATTCTTCATCTTTTCCAATTTATTATTTATTTTCTCATTTCCTCCTCCAAATCCTTAAAGTTCTAGAGATAGTCTAACATAAAACACTTTTCTGATACCTCAATCTTTAACATTAAGAAATTTCCTACAATAGATTTATTCTGATAAATCTATATACTTCAAATACTGCAAACATGTCCTTGTGTATACAGAGATATTTATGTTTCACAAATCTTTCTTTAGAATATGTAAAACTTTCTTAATTGGCATTTAAATTCAGCATGAAAGCATACAATCTATCTCTGTTAAAACACACATAAAATAAATCTTCCCAGTAATTTCTTTTGAGAATATTTTAAAAGTTTGAAACAACTCTCTACAGAAAGCAGCAAACCTTACAAATGTTTTTCAAAGCCCACACCAAAATATTTAACAAACTATCAAATATCTTGTGTTCACAGTACTGTTGTCATCCAGAAAGCTAACAGATAAAATAATCAAAGCAGCTTTGTTTAAGTTTCTCAGTATGCTGCTCTGTCTTGTTTGCCAGGCAATCTTTCAGCTAGCCTGAGGACACCAACATCAACACTTCCTGCATGTTCTGCAACACCTCTCATCCAACTTCCTCACTGAGGCAAGAAATCATAAGACAACAGCACTGAAAATTAAAATGCTATGACAAAACTGCACCTAAATTCTCGAGCTGGATTCACGGGGGTCTATGCAATTGTGACAAATCCTGGGTGAGGAATACATGGCAACTTTAAGGGGATCTTCTGCGAAATTCTTCCAAGAGAGATCTTTCTATCACTGTCAAGAAGCCAAGAATTCTTTTCTGAAGTGCTCTTTTGAAGAGATGAAAAAATTCTATTGGAACTCCTATCGTTTCAATAGCTTCAATATTTCTACTCAAAGTTTTGCAGTCTTTTTTACTAATATGCTTACATATTAAAGACTGTTGACCATGCACCAACAGACACTTCCTATGGGTCACAAACACTTGTTTCAGAATCCCCAGGGAAAAGAAGTAAATATAACACTCTTTATCCTCTAATGCAGACATTTATCTAAGACTAATGAAAATTAAGCTGAAATGTTTAGATGATGTATGTTGATTCAGGAACTATACAACCCATTTGTCTTGTCTGACCAATCAGAAGCACTAACTGGAATTGTTTGGGAATTTGTGTGTGCTTTTTTTTTAATTTGGGGAAAGAGTAGACAG